AATGATCCAAATGTGTGGCACTGAGGCATAGGCTTTCCTGTAATCAATCCAAGCGGTGCACAGGTTGGTGTGTCGGGTTTTGCAGTCTCGGGCGACTGTGTGGTCTACAAGCAGTTGGTGTTTGGCTCCTCTGCTATTTATGTCTATGCCTTTCTGTGCCATGTGCATGTATTTATCCATGTGTCCGCTTATCTTAGCCGCTATGATGCCTGACATGAGCTTCCATGTTGTAGAGAGACAGGTTATTGGCCGATAGTTGGATGGGACTGAACCCTTTGAGGGATCCTTCTGGATCAGGATTGTGCGCCCTTCAGTTAACCATTCAGGGTGAGTCCCATTTTGTAGCAGCTGGTTCAGTTGAGTTGCCAGTTGCTCATGGAGGGCAGTGAGTTTCTTCAGCCAGTAGGCATGGATCATGTCAGGTCCTGGTGCTGTCCAGTTTTTCATACCTGAGACTCTTTCTTGGACATCTGCCACAGTGATGGTTACCGGGGCTTTTTCAGGGAGGTTGCTGTGGTCCTCTCGTACAGAGGTTAGCCACTGTGCATTGCTGTTGTGGGTCGCCTCCCTTTCCCATATGATCTTTCTAGTATTGTTCAGTCTCCAGCCTTGGTGGGTCTGCTCTGTTGTTAGTACCCTGCCATTGAGAGTACACTTTAGCCGGTTAATCCTCCTGGCTTCATTGTCTCTTGTGTATCTCTTTAGGCGGCTGGCCAAGGCTTGGAGTTTCGAGTGCTTCAGGTATGGGCATCTGGCTGTACTTCTTAGGTACTGATCTTTTCATTGCACCTCTTAGGAGCTCTGACAGCTGGCTCACTTCCCTCCTTGTTATCTTGATCCTCTAACCGTCTTTTCCATGATGGATATTGGGTCTCATTGTTGCTCTTATAGCCAAGCATCTCAAGGATCACTGATGCTGAGTTGTATATCAGCTCATTGGTTTCTGTTATGGTGTTGGTAGGGATAGATCTTAATGCTGCATTCACATCTTCAATGAGACTTTCTGATGGTACTTCACTCAACCGTTGTAATTGGCGTCAGGGCTGCCTGGTGTTCATTCGGGCCACGATTCTATTTCTCAGGTCATTTGCTGCCTTGTTCAGCTTTGGTAGTTCATTCGTTACTGTGGCTACATACACAGTTTCTGGCCGGGTAGTTGTAGTTAACTCCCCCCTGTCCTGACATCCAGGCTCCTCCCCCTTGCCATAGCATCTGTGTTGTACCTCATCAATCTCAAGTTGTGATAGCAGTTGCCGTTTGCGGATGTTGGAGCACTGAGCTACTAGTTGTTTGGCAGTTAGTGTTAACTGGGGATGTCAAACTAATCATTCCTTCCACATTCTTTGCATGTAGCCCCTCTGACAAGGGTTACTTGAGTTGTAGTATTCCAACAGATCCAATTTTCACCTCTCGCCCATTTCCGTCTTGTTCCAGTAGCCCATTTTTCATCAAGGTGCTCTGGTTCCCCAGCACCTGACGCAGACCTTGTTTGGCTGGGCGACGTCTGAGCCGGCATATCGTGCTTATCAATGTCTCTCATGGCATGGTATGAGGTAGGCTATATAGCTCAAAGGGTCTTGGCTAAGGACCCACACTGGATAGCTCAATGTCACTGTTGTATCTTTTATTTATATATATATATATATATATATATATATATATATATATATATATATATATATCTTCCATACTGTTTTTGTCATATCCACTCTATCAAATCTATTTTGTCTTGTGATAATATATTTATTTGCTACACAATTATAAAAATAACTACAACAGATAAATTAGAGCTCATTCCAATTTCTGGTTAAATATGCAATGTCAAGTTGAAATAATAATAATAAAAGTTCCATTTCAACCCAGATGATGAGGTTCATAAGGTATCAACAGACATTAACCGGCATGGAAAGTGAAACCAGGAGGAAATGTATTTTTTAAGCAAGGCAAACATGGCTGGTTAGATCATGTGGCAACAGTGGAGAGGAAAAAACTCCCCTTTACAAGAATAAACCTCCAGCAGAACCAGAACCAGAACCTGCCTCAGTTTGAGTGGCAAGACAAACAAGCAAAAACAAAGAGATGAACTGGTGACTTTCTCAGGCTATGAAAAATAAAAAGTTAATAACTGAAGAGGGAGACATCCTAAAAAATACATTTTGGATGGATTGTAAAAAGGAACAAGAAATCATTAAAACACATGAAGTTTAGCCAGAAAGACGAGCATTAATCCCAAAAGAAGGTTTATTTATTTCATTGTTTCGTGTGTTTGTCAGAGAAAATAACAAATGTTTCCCTTTCCTGTTTTTTTTCCTGTGTGGTCTGAAGGCACACCTCTACTCTGAAGAAGACCCACCCTGATCACTGGCCAGAAACTCATCATAGATCTTTCTCTTGTTAGAGTGAAGCAGCATGGCACGTTAGCTATCTGCAGTAATCTATTAAAACAATGAAGCCAAAATGTAATTTAACATTTTAACATAAAATCCAAACTACAGTTCCACACGTCCTACCACAAAGAGCCATGTTATAGCAATACTTTTTCTGGACAATCCTCCAGGAAAAGGAATAGCACAAACCAAAGGACCATGTTACACATAAAGGAATACTTCACAGAGGGACTCATTCAGATGGCCATCCTGTTGAGTCTCTGTGGAGTTAGGGTGCATGTGGGACTGGAGGTGTTCTTGCCTCCATCCTGGTGTGAGCTGATTCTGGGTCCAACCTCTGCGCTGACACACACACAGATCCTGAACCTCCGCAACCGGCACAGCCTGCACCCCAAGATGGTGGATCTGGATCAGTTCTTCACAGCGCGCAGGCTGTTTGGCTGGGTCCGCTCTCTGGACCGGATACAGGTAAGGAAACACACACTCATAAGGACCAGCTTTTCTTTAGCCACTCACACCATGAGTCTGTATGTACAGAAATAGACCAAAAATGTAAAAGTGTGCACTCAAATTTGTTTGTTGTATCATCACTTCCTTTTGAACAGGAATATTTAACCTCCTCCTTTAGAAAAAAAACATTTAAAATGTAATTCGCTAAGAATTAAATTGAATAAATAATCTATAAGGCATTTATGTTGCAAAGATTTCATAAAATATGAACAATGAAGAAGCAAAGCAGTCAAATAACATGAACAAGTTCCCTCTGAACTAAACGAGATTGAAAATGAAAAGAGGATCATCATAAAAGGAGGATGTCTTATGTCTTATTACTACAACATTCTGTTTCTAATTAAAAGTTCACATAGCTCATGTTTGTAAAAAGTCTTTATCTGAAGCTTTTCTTCACAGGTTTCTCAGGCAGAGCTGGAGACATGGCTGGTCCAGCAGGAAGTTGGTCCTCTGTCTGGACGATTTCCTGACCAGAACTTTCTGATGGACAGAACACTGGGTCAGGTAGAGAGAGACCAAAGTGAGCCAACTATGGGACAAGGAGAAGTTCTGGATAGTCTGGAGGAAGAAGAGCAGGTATGTCAGATGATCACACACCATAATGGGCAGCATGATGCGTCTCTGTTGTTCTATTTACATCGAAAATTAGCCTCCTGCTTCCCAGGAAGGTTTAACGTAGCTTAAGATCTGACTCTGAACCACTCTGCTCTTGTCTCCTCTGACCTTCCAACAAATGTTGGACTAACGTTCAGTTAAAACTATCCAACTTTGATGTAAACAGAAATCCAACATGTATGGGTAAAGAAATAACCCAGCAGTATTTTGTGTGTGAACCAGTGGTCTCACACTGCATTGCTCGAGAGCCAGACGTTTTGCTGTGTCTCTGGTCCTACACACTATACAGCCCAGCTGTACAGATAGACGTTGAAAAGCTGCTGGAGACCAGCAGACAAATTGCAGACACCTCATTTATACACTGGGTCCTTCTAAGTATTTTTCTAATAACTTGATGTAAACATATTGCTTTCATTCAATGAAAGTTGAGATTGAATGTAGAACCACTGTTCTAAACCAAATAGAGGGTTTAACCCAGCCTAATGGCTGCAACAAGAGATTCAAGGATTACTCTAACATGCATGAAAGAGTCAAAGCAACGCCCCATGTATGTTTTCCATGAGGTAATAACATAATGTTATAAAAACATCAAAAATGTACATTTTAAATAATACCTTCACTTTAAGAAAACAAGATATCTGTGTTCTGTTGAACAGTGTAAGGTCAGATATATTTTGTTGTGTAAAATGAAACAATGTGGGTTACTGTGACTTCTTAGTGTTATTTAAAAAAAGACCCTTCTGGAAGCAAAGTTTAGTTCTTAACAACTATAACAGTTCAAGATAAAATCTCTGAAAACACCACTGTTGTTGCTGGGTTACCCGTGACTCTCCATAACCCGGGGTGTGAACTAACGTAGTAGCTTTGTTTTGGGTAAAGATAAAAGCTGAGCTTGATGGCATGTGAAACACTGAGTCAGAAACTGATGAGTCACCAGCAAACCTGATGTCACCAGAAAAATTAAGCAATGAACTCAGTTAGGCTGCAACACCTTGTCAATGGGACACTTCTGCTTTTGTTGCTGTGTCACACACTCTGACTTCATTTCACAAAATAAAATGAAAATCAAAGATGTTTGTTTAGTTACACTGAGACCAACACACATTCCTTTAAAAGGACAGAATCCTTAAAAAGGAGTCCGTCCTTTTAGAGCAATGGGTTCTGCAGCTCCGAATGTCTCACTGGAGAGACTGACTGTTTCTGTGCCTGCATCTTTCAGCCTGAAAATCATGTAATGTGGCCTTGACCTCTGGCTTCATATTTCTGCTTCACGTGGGCTTCCTAACCTAGAAATCCTTCAGACATGTTCATCCACGAAGCACTGCAGCATTCTGGTCCTGGGTTCCAATCCCAGCCTGGCTTCTTTCTGCTTCAGGTGTGGGTTCTCTCTGGGTACAGTTAATTAGACATAGATAAATGTTTAAATGCAAATTATCATTGTACAAATAAATGAACAATCTGCCAAAAAATAGACTTTTTATCTCAGAAAGATTTGGTAAACATACTGGGACAAAAAGGACAAAAGGAAGGTACAGCTCACATCACTAAAAGTTGCTCTGTTGTGCAGGACAATTCCTGATTGTCCGAACTGTGGAAAGCAAACAGGACTTCAAACTTCAGATTGTCAATGTTAGAACACAAAAACCAACACCAGTGATGGAGAGACTAGAAGGCAACAACCTCTTCTGCTATGGAGGCTGCATGGGATTAAAAACTGCAGCTGACTCTCAGTGTCAGATTACTTTGTGAAAGTCAGCTGCAGCATACAGATCTATGAGTGTGGTGCTCCTTTAAATGAAAGTGTGTACAGCAGTGTTTTGAAATCCCCCTCGTGTATTAAATATCAGGTGCTGTACAGTCAACCTCGTGACTGTCTGTCTTGTTTTGAAACCTGATCATCACATCCTGACTCGTACTTATATGTCCCAGTTTTGCAATCCACCTTGTTTATTGCTTCTACACATGATCACAACAAGCATCCAACCAATAGCAGGACGACCTCCGTCACAGTCCATCCTAATCTGCCAGAGCTGTTCATCAGAAAAATAGTTTTTAAACTTCTACCATTTTTTTCAGACTGGATATGTGAAATAAAAAATCTTTATTATTTAAACTTTAATATTTTATCTTGAAAAATTGTTTAATCTTGAACTGCATATCTTTTATTTCTTTCTTTTTATATTCTAAATGTGTTCTGTCTGGCAGTGTGTTGTCTGAGTCACAGTGAGGCCCAACAGATTTTCTTTCATAACGGCTTTTCCCATGATGCTTCAGATAAAATATATATATATATATATATATATATATATATATATATATATACACATAACCAAGTGGAGGGTATAGTGTACAGGAACATCTGTGCAGAATATGGACTGGAAGCCCCGAGATCAAAGTGGGGAACACCCCCAAAGGTGGTGGAGAATGACCGAGCTAAGATCCTATGGGACTTCCAGATCCAGACAAACAAGATGGTAATGGCGAACCAACCGGACATTGTGGTGGTGGATAAAGAACAGAGGAAAGCCGTTGTGGTGGATGTAGCAATACCAAGTGACCACAACATCAGGAAAAAGGAGCACGAGAAACTGGAGAAATACCAGGGCCTCAGAGAGGAAATGGAGAAGGCCTGGAAGGTGAAGACCACAGTGGTGCCTGTGGTCATCGGGGCCCTCGGGGCAGTCACCCCCAAACTGGAGCAGTGGCTCAAACAGTTACAACATCAGACATCTCAGTCGAGAAATGTGCAGTTCTAGGCACAGCCAAGATACTGCGCAGAACCCTCAAGCTCCCAGGCCTCTAAATGTTTCTAAATGTTATAAACATTTAGAAAGACTCATTTATGTTCATAACAGGTGTTATATCATGGTTATGACAGTGTCATGTCAGAGGTGTCCACTCTCTGGACACCTCTGTCCCCCTCTAGGCCTGCCCCAGATGTTTTGACACTCATAACTCCTCTGCTGTTCTTTAGAGAACTAATATTGACAGAAGTGATGAATCCTCTGATGAAAATCAGCCACTGGGCCTCGACCTGGAACTCCAGTGGCAGGATCTAATGGACATCCTGGAGCCTGAGGTAACAAACAGAGTTAGAAGAGATGCAAATGCATGTGATGAACAAAAAAAAAAAAAAAAATAAAAAATTGAAATATACAAGGCATGAAACCTCTGAGAGGATCATAGATACATATGAAATGAGATTAAACTGTAATCTTTTATCTGCAGAACATAGACGTTGAAATGATGACCTGTTCAAACCACAGCCCTGACTCAAGAACAGCTGCGACTGCACCAGGTGATGGGTCTGAAGCTCCGCCCCCATGTTCCAACACCCGTCCTGGGTCAGAGCATCTCACAGGGACCTACTGGCAGCAGGGTGAGCTTCACGGGGCATAGGAAAACTCAACCTTGGATTGAATTCTGATTGTTTTAGATGAAAGTGGACCAAATTGTTCATTAGCTGGAAACTAAGAAATACAAAAGGAGCAGAGATTTAAAATATATCATGAATTCAAACACAGCTTTTTATTATTATTCAAAGATAACTTTTCTTCCTAATACTTCCTGTTTGTTTTTAGATCTGTTTGGGACTGCTAACCAGCTGCAACAGGAGCCAGTTCTTCTTCCATTGACTCCCAGTGATGAGCTGGATAAGGATGGTTCAGTGATCAACACAGGTTTCACTTTGGAGAACTCCAGGATGGACTCCTGGACAATTCCTTCAAACTACGCTGACCTGCTAGACGAAAATCCTGGTGGAGATAACTTGGCAGTCTTCAGCATGGACCTGCTCACTCAAGACATTTCTCCCTTCAGCTCAGACTCTTCATCATATGACCTGAAAACTCCTAGTGTCAGCCAAGCGTCCGGAGGGAATGATCTGGACCAGGACTTTGGACGAACATCGTCCAGTTCCTTTGTGTTGGCTGAGGAAGGTGCAGACGGTTTTCCTGGCCACATCAGAGACCTGTTGGAGAATTTGAACATCTTGGAAGACATTCAGTTGTTAGATGGACAACTGGAGGAAGGATTCAGTCCTGAGCTGGAAGCAATGTCTAAAGAGGAAGAGCAACTACACTGTGATGGAGTCCATCAGAGAGCTGGAAGGAGAGGTAACTGGATGGAAGATCAGGAGCAGCCCAGCAGACTGGGAGGTATTTCACTATAAAGAGTCCACTGGCTTAAGGAGCAGAATTATTAATAAATCATTTTTGAAATAATAATGTCACATTTGTTTTTTGCCATCCAGCTAAAAATAAATAATTATGTCAGAAAAGTGCAATAACCCAGAGAGATCAGTGACACCAATACGTTTTGAAGCATCTTGGTTTTCTAGCAACTGATTTTTTAATTTGGTACTTCACAAAAGTTCCTAACATGTATAAGATTGTGAGAAACTTTATTCTCCATGCGACCCCACAGATCACATGTCAGCTTTACTTTTACTAGGCCATTCCAAACAATTATATTTCCTTGTGATGTCAATGTTTTTCCTGATTTGGATGAAGACTTGGCTCTATCAAGCTAAATTCTCACTTCAGCATCAGCTTTCCAGCAGATATCTAAAGGTCATGGGTCAAACTAACTGGTGTCGGGAACCTTTCAGATTTCACCTGAACTATAACCTCAGCTTCCTTTGGTGGAGCTGTGGAGCCGTTGGTTGTCTCCCTGATCATTTTCTGTTGGCCATACTTTACATTTCCACATTTTTACATGAATTTTAGAGACACACCTAGGTACATGTAAAGTATTTATACAGTAAACCTCTACTTTGACTAACCCCTGCTCCCCACGCTGAGGCTGTTCGTCCTCTACCAGACACCTGGGAGTTTGAGCCGCTGCTGCAGTGTGTGCTGCTGGCTGAACTCTTGACATTTCTCTCCTGTTGTTTTTTCCTGCTGTTTCCATAGTTTCCTGTCCTCACCATGTTGTCTCATTGAACCACATAAATTCTGTGGCCTTAGATTTTTAAACTGATCTAAATGTTGGGCATCAGTGAAGATTATTCTCAAACACAGTGTTCAAATTTGCTTAACATACCACTATCCAGACAAGCTAGCACTGCTTAGTTCATATAACACACCCAGTAAAATGTGTCGTAATGAAATACTGACCCATCCATTGATCCTACCTTGACGAGCTGCGGTCCTGCCTGTTGACCGTCAAACCAAAAAAAATATATAATATAGATCATATGTAAAGTGTAACCTCAAAAAGACTAAGTTCCCCCTAAATTGAATCAAAAAGGTGCTTCAAAACGAACTAATGCAGCTGGGTTATTGCAGCATTTATTCATTTATTAATTCTCTGAGCAGATTGATTTGGCAGGACAATAGGTGTAGTATTTAGAGGAAAAAGGGTTTTAATGGCTTCTAATGTGCACATTTTATAGCTGACTTTAGATCTGGGTGGGTAGACTCTAAAGATCTGCTCTAGATTATTTTTAACAACTTTCATGAAATCAGAGGCAATGTCACAAACATTCAGACTTTGAAGCTGTTTTAATCTTTCCTGTTGCATCCTCCTACGTAGATGTCTGGGCGGAGGCGGAGGTGGAGACGGACTCAGACTCCGGCCTGTCTCTGGACTTCATCCACAGCCCTTCTTCCTTCTCTTCTCCTATTGTTTCTGAAGGCTCAGCAGATGATTCTTCATCCTGTGCGTCGGCTGTGGAGAATGTGTTTTCTGACGAGGTGGACAGCAGCAATGAGGACGGCTCAGCTCGATCGCATTTAGAAGTGGAGGTGACCATTAAGCAGGAGGAAGTGGAGGAGGAGATGGGAGCGGTTGGAGGACATGGCGTACCACAGTTCCCTCCTAACCACGAAGATTCCAAACTGTTTCCAGGCTTTTCCTGGGTGGAACACATAGGCCATGATCACACCTACTACAACCCGCCCTTGTCCTCGCTGTCTTCTCCAGCTCCTGGGACGATGTCCCCCATACAGACTGAATCAGCAGTGAGGGCTGGCAGCACCAGGCCATGCTGCCTTTCCTCCTCCAGCCTGGCTCCAGAAACTAAAGCCTGGAGCCGAGATGAGGAGCGAGCCCGGGCCCTCAGGATCCCTTTCTCCTACCAGCTGATTGTTAACTTGCCAGTAGAGGAGTTTAACCACCTGCTGAGTAGCGGCCAGCTCGGCCAGCTCAGCCAGCAGCAGCTGACCCTCATCAGGGACATCCGGCGGCGTGGGAAGAACAAGATAGCTGCTCAGAACTGCAGGAAGAGGAAACTAGACGTTCTGCTAGCGTTGGAGGAAGACTTGAAGGCCCTGAGACTCCATCGCTCAAAGCTGCTGCAGGAGAAGAGGAACAGCCTCAGGCGCTTGCAGGACATGAAGAGCAGATTTGGGAAGTTGTACCAGGAAATCTTCTCCCAGCTGGAGGATGAGAACGGCAGACCGCTGGACGCCACAGAGTACACGCTTCGTTTTGGACCTGATGATACAGTTACTGTGGCGTCGATCAGAGCCAGTCAAAACGGCAAAAAACACAAAGGCGTGAAGAAGAAGAGGAGCTGAATAAGAACTGATCAGGTTGGAACCGGCAGGATGAGCTTCCAACAAGGACCCGGCAAAGCACGAAACACCGACCCTCCTGACCTCTGGATGACCTCAACTGGAAGGTTCTGTACACAACAGATGTAAACCAAGGCTTCTAAAATTTTCCATTTCAAAATTTCATGTTTTTCCAGACTCAGTTTCTTGTATTTTTTAACAAGATTATAGAAATTTGAGTATAAAACATGTCTGTTTTCTCCTCCTGAAGGAACAGAGCTAAATCTGGCTTCTGCTCATTAAGAAGTCTTTTCACTGTTTTTGGTATTTGGACAAACTGAGATCAATTCAAATCTTTGGTACTTAGAAAATCTGTGAACTGGATTATTCTTGAACAGATACAAATCTGCTACATCAGTTTGTAGCAAATAATATCTCAATGATTTAGGGTTAAAACAAAAAATATTCAGTCTGAAGAATGATAATTCTAATGTTCTGCATGTGCGTCTTTGCTTCTTAGTGTAACAATTTCATACACAAGAAGAAGACATGCTGCCTTATGGAAAACAGAGAATCCCAGCGCTCCCTTCTGTTCTGTTCTATTGAACAGAAGGGGGCACTGGTCAGCAGGCAGCGGACCACAGGTGGACATCACAGCATAACAAAGAGAAGCTTTTCACCAGCACCATCTTGTAAAGACCCTAAAGGTGTAAAATTCCCAGTGCAGCATGGCTGCCTCACCTTCAGCACAAAGACTGAAACTATTGAAGATGGAAAAGGACTTGAAATTTTGTAACTTTTGTTGTATTATACTTTTATCCAGGATGTTGATTTTACATGTATTAATTCTATGTAAAGAACAATAATGCATTAATTTATTCAGAAGTGATGGTTGGATCTTTTCTGCAGTGATCTGCAAGAAAATCCTGACAAGAAAAGAAATGTGTTCATACAAAGTCTGAAGTCATTTGTGGTAAACAGAAAATCCAAATATACTTCATCAGGTATAACACTCCAGTCTGTCTGACTGTTCCTTCAACCTGTGCTTGTAGATGCAGACTCTAAATTCTGATTAGAATACTGTGCTATAATATTTTACCAGAACAAATGATTATCCAGATGACCAAAATTAGAAACATTAGTCGGAAAATATAACTTTGCACTGATATAATACTATCTACTGGCAGTAATATTAAGTAAGCTTTCAGCTGGTGGCTTCACTCTCCTGTTAAATTCACCTCAGAGCTCCTTGTTGGATCAGTTGCTCTCAGGTGTCTTGAAGTCTCCTCCACTGCAAGAGAATGTCTTGATTAGTGACATAGAAACTTAAATTCTCTTGGCAGCAGTTTCTCTTAATGAGGGTTCTTTGTGATGCAAACCAAGGAACTGGTTGATATTGGGGCAAGTGTTGCTTCTTACAGTGATTTCAAGCACATCTCCCTCTTTCAAAGCAGTGTTCATTTGTGCAGTGAATGATACCACTATTATCCATGAACCAAGTGGCAGATGCAGAAAACAGATAAGGACTCAAACAGCAGCCTGCAGTCTCCCAGTTCTGCAATCCTTTACTGAGAGAATAGACTTTAAGATACTGTTAGTTTATAAATCACTGAACAGTTTAGCACCACAACACATTCAAGATCTGCTGTTGTATCAACCTTCCAGACCTCTCAGGTCTTCTGGTTGTGTTCTGCATCCAGAACATGGAGACATGAAGAAGCAGCATTCAGCTTCTAAACACCACAAATCTGGATAAAATTTCCAGAAAACTGCAAAACAGCTGAAACGCTGAATTCCTTTAAATCTAAAGTAAAACCTCAACCTGGTTAGAGTTGCACCAGAATAAATATTCCAGAAATTAAGCGAAGGGAATCACATACAGAAGTGGTCAAAGGCACAACAATACTTGAACATCAGTTCAAGTATTGCCTCAAATGGAAATGGCCAGTCCAATCATTTTGAGGATTCATTTATCAACTTTACTCATCTTTTCAACATATTCACTTTAAACTACTTGACATTTATGTTTAGTCATCAAATAACCAGAGGTCACAGAAATGCTACCTTCATTTAGTGCAACAGCTATCAATGTCACCGATGGTTGGTCTTACAGATGTTCAGATTTCTGTGGTCCATGTTTGGTTATAGAACAAAACAATTAAGAAACTCATGAGTCCCAAATCATTTATTGTTGAAATCAGAATTTAAAAGTAGATCAACAGACATGCAACAGATCAACAAGCAAATCCACTAGGAACAAAAAAGATATCTGGGGAAAAAAAATAGCACAGATGAATAGAGCTTTGTTACCTCCGCAGAGAGGACATACGGTTAAAATGTAGGAAATTATATTTAAAATGCTGATAGATGTGGTGCAGAAATATAACTAAAGCACCAACAACTGAACAAGTGAAATTTGTGACAGTTTTCAGTTGAGCCAGGATGGATAGTTATATAGCAAATCTTTAAAATGGATGAAGATGCAATACATGCGTCACAATTTCATGTATTAAAACAGCATGGCTCCTAAGAAATGACGAGCAGAAAGAAACCAGATGGAAAAAAAAAGAAATCAATCCAATCCAAATGTGCCAATAAAAGAAAGCTACAACACTATTACAGTTTACATAGAAATGCACAGCTGGGCTACAGTTAACACATAATTGGAAAGCTTTGGTGGAGAACAACAAAGTAGTGAGACGGTCATTTCCCATCTGTATGCTGAGCATTTTAAAAACCGCCTGCCAACTGAGAACAGATGAGGAATAGCTGAGTTGCCCAGCAGTGCATGCTAAGATTTTATAACCTAGAAAACAAATGTGGAACGCAGTAGAAGTGAACATGAACCATTTTCTGAAGGAAGAGTTTTCAGCATAGTACGAGCCAGACCCTAATTCTAGTGAAGTCCACTTTGTTACAGAGCGCTTTACCTCAGACAGGAAAACATAAGGCAAAAAAAAAAAAAAGATGATTTCACTGAAACTCTTTAGAGTAAAATATTGGTGGGATAAGATCAGCAATGTTTCTGAATGAGAGTCACGGAAAGGGAAAAACAGCTTTCTGTCTATGTTGGAAAATTCACTGCTTTCCTATTGTTTAAAAGAAGTTCCCACCCATCTCAGATTCTTTCTGCTGCGGCTGCCATCATCATCATCACCACCACCACCATCAGCTCAACACTTTGGGGAGAGAGGAACTTCATCCAAAACCAAACATTGACCTTAATGTTTAACTGCGTTTGTTTTTCTTTCCCATTGGATACTTGGCGGTCTGGAAGAATACTTGTTGAAGGCACAACACATTCATGGTAAAGGGACAGAACAAAACGCAGATGTCAAACACACCTGCTAGAAACGAACCGCTGCAACCGCTAACGGGTGGGAATATCTTTTCAGGACTCGAGTCCTTCAGGGCAGGAAAACAGATTTTCTGTCACTTCCACTGACAGCTGCTGATCCTCACACTGTAGGATGTCAGAGACACTGAAAGTTAACAGTCAACTGGTGGGGAGCTGATTTCCTGCCCTGCATCGCCACACTTCCTCTTCACCCCGTTTGTACCTCCCCTCATCCTCTAGTCCTTTTTTTCCTCCTCCTTCTTTTCCTCTTCTTCTGTGGGGTAAGAGTGCCATGTGAGGCGTTCCTCGTAAAAAGAGATCACTACCTGCGGACATTTAACGTTGGCTTCTTTGGCCGGTACGAGGTCCGCCTCGTCAGAGTTCTTCCTGTTCAGTTTCAGAAGAAGAAAGATTGTCAGGTTCTGGAGGAAAGAGACTTTGAAACACTGATACTTTCTTTCAGGTAAACTTGAATGGATGCAGCTGTTGAATAGAAGAGACATCATGACCAGAGTTCCACTTACAAAGCAGAATACAAAAAAGCACTAAAGTATTTCACATTTTCTGAACTTTTAAATCTGGATGACAGTCTAGCTTTTATTATTAGCACTTCATTGGTGTATGTATATACATACATGCATATATACTAGAGATGGCCGATCAGGTTTTTTCCTACCGATACCGATCACCCATGAGGGCCGATCACCGATACCGATCACCCATGAGGGCCGATCACC